TTTTCTTCCTCCGGAACAACAGGTTTCTCAATCGTTACCTCTTCGGGTACTTCTTCTGTAGGTTTCTTTTTCGGTTTCTTTTCTTTCTTTTTAGGCCTTACTGTAACTTCTTCTATCTCATCTTTCGGAACTTTTGGAACTTCTTCCTCTTCTTTTTCGGGGAATTCTTCTGTACCCTCATCTTCTGGTTTGTCTTTCTTCCATCCCTTTAGTTTTATTGTTTCTGGTTCTTCTTCCGGTTTTTCTTTCTGCGGTATTCTAAACTTAACCTCAGGTTCTTCTTCTGGCTCCGGAGATTTTGGTTTACCCGGAATAATTGGAACTTCTTCGATTTCTTGATCAGGTTTCTTTCGTTTCTCTTTAACGTATGGTTTCGGTTTCGGTTCTGGTTTTGGTTCTTCCGGTTTTTCAATTTCTTCTGGTACATATTTTTCGAGCTCCGGTCTATCAAATTCGGTAGGTTTGAAATCTTCGTGTTCAAGTTTTACTTTAGGCTTTCGTTTCTTTTCTTTAGGTTCTTCCTTTTCTTCGACCTCTTTTACAGGCTTCTTTGGAGTCTCTTCGGTTTCTTCCACTTCTTTCGTGGGTATTTTCTTTAATTTAATCTCTTCAGGTTGTGGTTCTTCCTGTTCAGGAACTTTACCTTTCTGTTTGACCAATTTCTGTGGTTTCTCCGGTTCTTCTTTCTTCTTTTTCGGTTTACGTTCATATATTGATTTATCTTCTATTTCCTCTAAAGGAATTTCTTTCAATTTCTCGAATTCCTTATCCAACTTCTCAAGTTCTGTAATCTCTTTTTCCGGTAATTTGGTCTTCTTAAACTTTTTCTTCAATACCTTCATTGCTTCTTCCACGTTTCTGGATAGAATACCAACTTGAATAGGATTTTCTTCAAGTTCCGTGATCTGTGGTTTCTGTAATTCTGGTGGATAATCGCCAATAAATGTGATTCTACTGCGTAATAATATTTTCGGTATTTTTGCAACTTCAGCTTCCTTTTTCTTCGGTGTTATTACTTTCTTCAATTTAATTGAACCAAATTGTACTGCATCTTGAGGTTCTGTAAACTTCAATTTCGTTGCTTTAATTTCTTTCCTTTCTATCTTTTGTGGTTCTAATTTTTGGAGTTCTGGAGCTAACGGTTTCTTCTCCTTCTTCTTTTTCGTTGGTTCCCATTGTATCTTTTCTGGCATTGGTTCCAACACAGGTCTCTCATATTCTGGCTCAACCCACTCTTCTATTTCATCTTTCTTAGGAACCTTCTTTTTCTTCTTTTTAGGAACAGGCTTTTCCTTTACTTCTTCTGGTACAGGCTTTTCTTCCTCTTTCTTAATCTCTTCTGGTTTCTCTGGTTGAATCGTTTCCTCTTTGTCAACTGGTTTAGGAACGTCTTCTTGGATCGGTTTTTCATCCGGCTTACTTATTCGTTTTTTCTTTAATTTTTCAGTAGGTTTAATTTCAGGTTTCTCTTCGACTTTTGGAACTTCTTCAATCTCTACTGGCTTTTCTTCCTTTATTTCTTCAACTATTTCTGGTTTAGGTTTTTCTTCCTTGATTTCTTCAACTATTTCTGGTTTAGGTTTTTCTTCCTTTATTTCTTCAACTATTTCTGGCTTTGGTTTTTCTTCCTTTGGTTTCTTTTTAGGTGCCTTTTTAACAGACACCTGTGTTACTTCAGGCTTTTCTTCTGGTTTTTCTTCGATTGGAATTCCTTTTTCTTTCTTCGGTATATCTTCCGTTGGTATTTCACTCGTCATCATATCTGTAATAACTTCAGTCGTTTGAATACCTTCTTGCGTTACGATAGTTGTCTTTTGTTGTTCCGTAATTTGTTCATCTATTTTAAGTTCTTCAACGATATCCTCTCGTTGTTCTTCCTCCTGTTTTTTGGGGAATTTCTGTACACGCGTTTTTGTTACTTTAATTTTTTCCTCTTTCTTCGTTATCGGACGAGCCTGATCCGTTGGCGTTTTATCTTCTGGTAATTCTTGCGAAATTATTTCCGTTATTACTTCAGTTACTTCAATACCTTCTTTAGGAATTACCTCGGCAGCTGCTTTTTCTGGTTTACCTTTTTTCAACTGAATTTCTTCAATTATTTCTTCAGGTTTTTCCTCTTCCTTTTCAACAGCTTTCCTTTCATCAAACGTAACCTTTTTCTTAGGAATTTCATCTTTTACCTTTTCAGGTTTTTCTTTAACTTCTTGTTTCTTTGGTGCTTTTTTAATCGAAACCTTAGTAGTCTTTGGTGTTTCTTTTTCCTCTTCTTCAACAACAATAGCTTTTTCTTCCTTCGGTTTTTCCGTTTCAAGAGATATTTCGGTAATTTCTGTTATTTCTTCTTCTTTCGTTTCCTTCGGAGCCTTCATTACTACGACCTGATCCTTTGTAATCTTTTCTTCGATAGTTTCTTTCGGTTTGGCAACATCTTTCTTGACTTTTAATTCTGGAATTAATTCAGTAGTATCTTCCGATATTATTTCGGTTATTTCTACACCCTCTTCCGTTGTAACAGTAGGTGTTACTTTTTTCTTTTCCGGTTTTTTCGAAATTATTTCTTCGACCAGTTCCTCGACCACCTGTTCTTCTACATCATCAGCTTTCTTCTTTTTCTTTGGTGCTTTTTTAACGGTGACATCGATTACTTTGACTTTTTCTTCTTCGAGTTCGGTTCTCGTTGCTTCCTCCGGTGAAATTATTTCCCGTTTAGGCAATTCATCCGTATAAGATCCCGTTATTATTTCTGTTATTTGTATACCTTCCCTCAAAACAATTTCTTCCAATGCTTCAGCAGTAATTGGTTTTTCAATAACGATCTCTTCGATACGTTCATCAGGCATTCCAGATTCCGTGATCGTACTCTTTTTCTTTTTGATGACTTTTTTCGATGGCGTTTCAATGATCTCAACTATTTGCTGATCTTTCATAATTTTACCTTCGTCGGATGTTTTTTCTATTATTTCTTGCGTAACAATTGCAACAGTTTCATCCTTCTTCGTTGGTTTTTTCTTTTTAATTATTTTTCGCGTAGGCGTCTCGATTACTTCAATTATTTCTTCTACTTTTTCTTCTTCAACGATTGGTTTAGCCTTTTCCAGTTTTGGTTTTTCAATAACAAATTCTTCTATCAATTCTTCCGGAACACCGTCATCCTTGACAACGGTTGTTTTCTTTCTAATAATTTTCTTCGATGGTGTTTCTACAATTTCAACGGAACTCGTCTTTTCTATACTAGATATCTTTTCCAATGATGGTTTTTCTATGATCTTTTCGATTATTTCTTCTTCCTTTTCTTTTGTTTTAGGTTTCATTTTCTTTCTTATTACTTTACGCGTTGGAGTTTCTATTATTTCTTCTTCTTCTTCTATTATAATTGTTTCTTCTTCGATTCTAGGAGTTTCTATTTTAATTTCGGTAATTTGTACTTCTTCTTCTTCTTTTTCATCGGTGATTGGTCGAACTTTTTCTTTCCTTGGTTTTTCTATTATCAATTCTTCAACTATTTCCTCAGTTACCTCGTCGATTATTTTCTGTGGCTTTTTCTTCTTTTTAATAATCTTTTTGGTAGGAGTTTCTTCGATAATTTCCTCTTGAATTTCCTGTTATTTTGACAAGAGTTTAATTATAACATTAATATCGTTTATAAATATAAAAAGAAATATATTATAATGATTATTTGTTTTTATATTATATCAATTGATATCTCACCTCTTCCGTTGTCTTCTCTACGATATCTGTAAAAGTAGAAGTAATTATATTAATGTATGTAATAATTATTAAAACAATTTAAATGCGGTAACTTTAGTCTGTAAACATTTTAATGCAATGATTTTTAAACGTAAGTTATTATATCGTTATGGATATTTTTTTTTTTTTTTCTTTTCCATTTTTCACTCCTAACGCGTAATTGTATTAAAATAAATATTGTGTTTTATCTGTAAATATATTTATACTAATTTAAAAAAATTTAACGCGTTTGTTTTTAATAATAATAATAATAATTATATTAATATTTAAAATATATTACCGATAGAACCAATCCTAGATAAATTTCATCCTATATATATATATACATTGTCTGTATGAATGAATAAGGTGGGGTAAATAGTGTTAATTGAAGTATATTTGTGTCAATGTTCTTTTCTTTTCTTTTTTTTTTTTTTTATATAATATATATATTTATATATAGCTTTTTAGGGTTGACAATAGTATTACGTGAAAATAAGCTTACCTCCTGATATGATTTCATCAGTTTTAGGTTTTAACGGTCTTGTGTGTTTTGGCTTATCGTGTGTTTCTGGTGTAGTGTCTTCGATATCATCAGTTAAAGCTGTTAAGAGTGATACAGTTTTGTCTTTATTTAACGTGTCTTTATGTTCCAGTAAAGTGATGGTATCCATAACTTCCATTATTTCATCCTTACCTAATGGGACGCCATTTACTTTATCTGGTTTCTCTGAATCGTCAACCTTTTTCTTTTTCTTCCTTACCACTACCTTATCTACAATTTCTTCTGTAATTATATCTTCTTCCACTTGTTCAATATCTTCAGGTTTTTCTTCCTCGGTAGGAATTTTCTCTACCGTAACAACCGATTCTTCTGGGACAGCTTTTTTCTTAGGTTTTTTCAATTTAGTTTTACGTATCGTAACATCTTCTTCCGTCTCATCTTTCGGAATTTTTGGAATTTCTTCCTTTTCTTTTTCAGGGAATTCTTCTGTACCCTCATCTTCTGGTTTGCCTTTTTTCCAGCCTTTTAATTTTATCTTTTCCGGTTCTTCTTCCGGTTTATCTTTTTGCGGTATTCTAAATTTCACCTCAGGTTCTTCTTCCGGTTCCGGAGATTTTGGTTTACCCGGAATAATTGGAACTTCTTCGATTTCTTGATCAGGTTTCTTTCGTTTCTCTTTAACGTATGGTTTCGGTTTCGGTTCTGGTTTTGGTTCTTCCGGTTTTTCAATTTCTTCTGGTACATACTTTTCAAGCTCCGGTCTATCAAAATCGGTAGGTTTGAAATCTTCATGTTCGAGTTTTACTTTAGGCTTTCGTTTCTTTTCTTTAGGTTCTTCCTTTTCTTCGACCTCTTTTACAGGTTTCTTTGGAGTTTCTTCGGTTTCTTCCACTTCTTTCGTGGGTATTTTCTTTAATTTAATCTCTTCAGGTTGTGGTTCTTCCTGTTCAGGAACCTTGCCTTTCTGTTTGACCAATTTCTGTGGTTTCTTGGGTTCTTCCTTCTTCTTTTTCGGTTTACGTTCATATATTGATTTATCTTCTATTTCCTCTAAAGGAATTTCCTTCAATTTCTCGAATTCCTTATCCAATTTCTCAAGTTCTGTAATCTCTTTTTCCGGTAATTTGGTCTTCTTAATCTTTTTCTTCAATACCTTCATCGCTTCTTCCGCGTTTCTGGATAGAATACCAACTTGAACAGGATTTTCTTCAAGTTCCGTGATCTGTGGTTTCTGCATTTTTGGTGGGAAATCATCAATAAATGTGATTCTACTGCGTAATAATATTTTTGGTAATTTTGCAATATCAGTTTCCTTTTTCTTCGGTGTCTTTACTTTCTTTAATTTAATTGAACCAAATTGTACAGCTTCTTGAGGTTCTGCGAACTTCAATTTCGTTGCTTTCATTTCTTTCCTTTCTATCTTTTGTGGTACTAATTTCTGGAGTTCTGGAGCTAATGGTTTCTTCTCCTTCTTCTTTTTCGTTGGTTCCCATTGTATCTTTTCTGGCATTGGTTCCAACACAGGTCTCTCATACTCTGGCTCAACCCACTCTTCTATTTCATCTTTCTTAGGAACCTTCTTTTTCTTCTTTTTCGGAATAGGCTTTTCCTTTACTTCTTCTGGTACAGGCTTTTCTTCCTCTTTCTTAATCTCTTCTGGTTTCTCTGGTTGAATCGTTGCTTCTTCTGGACTTTCTTCTCGGGAAGAAACTTTTTCTAACGATACTTCTTCAGGAGATTCTTCTGGTACAGCTTTTTTCTTTGGTTTTTTCAATTTCTTTTTACGTATCGTTACATCTTCATCCGTTTCATCTTTCGGAATTTCAAGAGGAGCTTCACCTTCTATACTTGGGAATTTGTCGACACCTTCGTCTTCCGGTTTTGGCTTTTTCCAGCCTTTTAATTTTATAGTTTCAGGTTCTTCTTTTGGTTTATCTTTCTGCGGTATTCTAAACTTCACTTCGGGTTCTTCTTCCGGTTCCGGAGATTTTGGTTTACCCGGAATAATTGGAACTTCTTCGATTTCTTGATCAGGTTTCTTTCGTTTCTCTTTAACGTA